TCATGTTACTATTTCAACTATTTAATTTAGCTATTGTATTTCTAGATTTATAAATAATGTGTATTAATTATACGACTATATATTCATTATTCTAGTTCACATCGAATATATTTTATTTTTATTTTTTATACCCTTATATCTTAGAATTAGTATTGTTATCATATAAAAAAAATAATTGTGTAGCAGCAGCGGATATGCAATACATACGGGCTGAAACACGATAGTTACTGATGAGAATTTCGTAGCTAAACAAAATTGAAGCAACAATATCGGAAAACATGCATAATACATCTATTGTACTGACGAATATATTGTTTTTGTATCATGTGAAATTTGTTTTATATTTTATTTAGTCATTCACGTGCCTTTTTGTCATTTGGTTGGTTTAATTGGTTATCCTTTGCAATTTCATTTCCACCTCACGTCTGAGTAAAATTCTAATGTATTATACCGAAAAACACATGTGTATAATATGTTGAATATGCAATAATATGCTGTTAATATAAGATTATTTCCTTTTACTATTTGTGAAAATAAAAATATACCCCGAACTAAACTCGTTATTCATAAAATAATAATTGTATTTTGGTTATTTATTGATAATGTGTATTATATTATACTTTGAAGAAAATGCATATTGGTTGGTGTAAATACAAAATTCGGTTTTTCTTTGCAAAAAAAATATTATTTGTGTAAAATTTTCATTATATACTTATAAATATTTAACGAGTACGTTTTAATGATTTTAAATATAATCCTTAAGTTTGTAATTTGTAATATTATATTGATAATACGTTAATTATCTAAATGTTTTTTTTGTTTCTTTTTATCGAGTGTTTTCCCCCTGTTATGACTTAAAAATATTTGTGTACTGATTGTTTTTAGATAATATATTAATACCTTATGAAAATTGCAATTCAACCGTAACTATTGCGTTTCTGATTGATAATAATCCAAAAATATAAGTACCTATACTTATACAATTATTGATTAATATGGTAAAATAACTAAAAATACAACTTGTTGAATTATGAGTACAAAAACATAAATTGTTTAATTCCAAAGGTTAATTTTTTTAAATAGTTCATCCATTGTTATGATGTTTCTATTTGATATAATTTTGTATCTATTTGTCATTTAATCAATTAAACCTATGTTTTCGCTGAGAAATATTCTTAAAATTAATTTGTTTGATATTGTTTCTGATATACTTTAGTTTATTTTATTTTTTATTACACGAATATGTTAATGTACAATCAGTATGTATTTCTTTAGTGTATCGACGATGTGTTGGCTGTAAAAACATTTTCTACTTTTTTACTTTGTTATTACAAAGAGTGAGTTTAATTTAACGTGATCACGTTATTCGGATTAAGTAATTTTGGTTCTATTAATCGGTTGATTTCGTAAAACATATTTTTTAGTGATTATGCGTATATTTAGAATAAAATTAAATCTGAATAAAAATTTAAAAAAAATTTAATTTGAACCAAATAAAATTAACAAAGTATCTATTTTCGATTAGACTTGAAAATCATTGTACTTATTTGTTATTTTTGAAACAACTTCTTTGAAAATAAACCTAACCGAACTAGTACACGACATACAAAGATAACCGAATGACATGACTTATAATAGATACACTATCACACTGATTAGTTAAAAAATAAAATTGGTCTTCTAAATTAATCAGTTTGAAATACCATAAAGACAAAACGATAAGAATGTTCATAAAATTGATTCGGATAAATTATTTGGTACATAGTGATTCTCATATTAAGTCAATTTAACATTAGTAACATAAGAAATAGTTTACGATTTTCTTTTTTGATTCCAATAAACGGTAAATTCTATAAATCAGTGATCATATTAAGACAAGGTTAATTTCACAACAATTTAGCTAAGCTTAATCAATAAACAGCGATGTATAAAATAATATAATAGGTGATAAATTAAACGATCATTACTATTTGGTATAACTTTTGTATATTGTTTTAAAGCAAGGCTAAAATCCTGAATCTTAATCAAATTATGCGGATTCTGAATTTTTTTCTTAATATTTTGACTTAATATTATTTTTGAATAGCTTACCTATTACAAATTTATTATTTGAGAAAATATTGTTGTTCACCTAAAAATATCATAGGTGTCTTGATTCAATGTAATTTAAAATGAGCGCAAACCTTAAGTTGTGTTTTATTTAATAGTGAAAATCATACATTCTTACGGTTTCCAAATTGTATTATCAATCGCGGTCGTTATAGTACAAAAATTTGTTAACTTTTACCGAATTAAATGTTACCTATTCAAATAGTTTGGATAAAGTAGTATAGTTGAATATGTGGAATAAAGCAAATATATTATCTGCCAAGGACTCATAATTTTAAATGTTTCTAAATATGTTTTTGTAAAATCTGTGTGTCATCCGTTTTCGATGCCACCTATATAATACATCAACCGTAAAGTAAATTTTTCTTCGCGTGTTTGCATATGTAGAGCACGTGAAAACGATTTACCATAATATGTATACATACTGGTACCTATTGAGGTTTTTTTTTTTTAAACGTTACCCAATATGCATATAACTCCCAAGTACGCAAAATATTCACACTGCTCTCAATTGTTGTTGAACACTTTTCAGAGTAATTGTATTACACATTACATTTACGTAATCAATGTATTATTCAATATGTTCTTAAATACGGTTGTTGTTTTATCGTAGAATAATTTATTTTCGCAATGCGTTGGATTTTTTTAAAAAAAAAAACAATTTTTGTCGTATTATTTATTTGTTTATTTATTACGTAGATATTATAGGCAGATTCTTGTTTTCGACGTCTAAAGCGTATTTATATGATAAATAATATCCACGTGTTTATACCATATATGTACAAATAAAGAAAACATTAGTATAAAAAATTATAGCTGTAAATATAAGTTGAATTATATTATACGCATAGATGTGTGGTAAATAACATTAAAATATATTAAAATTATTTTATACCTGTGTGGTAAAATTGTGCTCTGAAGGTGATTTCACAAAACCGTTCAAGGGAAAATTTCACTTTGCAACAAGTAACGATGTAATATTCCATAACAATTTAACTCTTGTTAGATACGCCGTTTTCGACCGCGACCAGTACCTTAAGTTGCTTTTTTTGATTTTCCGGAAAATTTCGGATTATATATTAAATATGTATCGAATTAAGTATAAATCAAGCAAGTGTATCTTTATTACAGTGACGATGTGTATACAGCCTAGTATATAGCCTTAGCCTACATTTGAGACTTATATCTGTTATAATTACGTTGTTTTTCTTTTGTAGGTGCGCAGTATATTTCGTACATATTTTAAAATCGTTTATTTTCACTCGTGTCACTGAGATTTAACTTGAGAAAAACAAACGTATAAATCGTATATTATTATTATTTTCGTCGATATGATCATTATTGATGATAATGCACTCATGTGCGTATAAGTATACGCAATTGACGCAATAAAGTGACTTCGCGTAGGCGAGTCTTGTGTACATTAATGTAATATTTTAATAGAGAGTTTTGTCTGATAATATCAATATATTGTAGACTGAAGTGTATAATTTATATAGTGGCCATGAATAAAGCAAGTGCCAAGTGAAAGTATTACACATAAACGACGACAAGCGTTTCGGCGGGGTACCTGCGTTTAGTGCAAACAAATTGGTCATATATTTTTTTCACTTTTATTTCACTGTGTCGGTTTGTAAGAAGGTACTTTCTTTATGCTTTCAATGAGACTCGATTCGTACTTATTTCAATATTATTATAGTGAAAACGTCGAGGCGTCGTTAGGCGTTATATTATAGTACATAAATAATTTTATGTATGTTCATATAGCCTTCGCTTATCTCAGTGTGCACATGTAGACTTTTTACTTAGTAATGGTTGTAGTCTTGTATTCAAATTTTTATTAGCTATGTTTTGAAGTCAATCCATTTTTTTTTATCCAAGAGAAAACCTTCTAATTATATTATTTTACGTAATTTATTATTTAATAAAATATATATTAGTTTTACAAGTGTAAAATGGTGGGAAAATATTATTATATTGTATTTCCATCTTTTGTTTTATTCGAAAGTTAAAAAATATGATTTTGATTTGCATTTTATCCCTATACATTATTCCGTATAAATTATGTTAGTACGCTGTAACGTTAATTGACATCATCTTTTAACTACCGATTTTCAAAATAATGGCGGAACTATCAAATTCATTAAAACAGCACTTGACAAGTATTATTATTCATTATATTAAGTAGGTACCTTTAGGGAAGTATTTATGAGAGAGCGAGTGTACCCCCCCCCTCACCGAAATGAAAACGCCATTGTTATAAATTGTTATTTTGGACATGGATATGTCTTAAGGGGTTATCCCGAAAATTTGTTGTGACACTGAGAATGTTGCATATGCGATGATTTAAAATTTTATATTTATATTTATAAAATATGTTTATTATTTTAAGAAAATATGTGGTGAATTTTAAGTGACTAATAAAAATATAGAGTTTCTTATTTTTCTGATGGTGTAAAGACAATCGAGAAGTCTTATAGATAGTAAGATAGTGTTCAAGTAATTTTTGTCGTAATAGTGTGTTTCCTCCTTCCCTTCCCCCCAAAAATCAAATACACGACTGGCCCCCTCCGAAATGAAAACCTATATACGCCACTAGTATCATTGTGGTAAATTAAAACAATGAGATACTTAATTTATTTTTTTTGTTACGCAATCAAATTAAAAATTATTATGTTTTCAACCCGTTGTAATATTTTTAAAAACAAATAATTAAATTACGTGAAGAAAGGAGTACTTATTGCGTAAATCTCGTGGATTATTGTGTAATTTTAAATTTTTGTATGAATTTTGTTGACAATTTTTTTTAAATACATTATTTAACTTTCTACGTATCGTATCTATGAAATTCGTTATTGACTCATAGATGTAATATCATGTTTGATTTGCAGAAAGGAGACCGTTCATTGTTGGCGCAATTTTTCTATGCCGATGATGAACTAAATGCCGTGGCTACGGAACTGGACAGTTTTGATGGCAAAAAAGACCCTCAGCGATGTACTGCCCTTGTGAATCATTTGAGACAATGTCAGGACAAAGTATGCGTGTATATTAACTTGGCAAAACGTAATGAAATATTAATACAAATAGTTTTATTTTATTTTAGGTTTTAACGATTTGCATTAAAATTATGGACGAGTTGATTCCCGGCGAACGTGCCAGTCGTGATTTTCGTGTAAAATTTCCAGATGATGTAATTCAGGACAATTTGGCAGGGCAGTTGTGGTTTGGTGCTGAGGTAATTATTAATAATAATATTGCAGACTATAATAAAGTTCTGTAAAACACAGCTACCAAAAAAAATTTTAAATTCATGTACTGTATAGCTTTGACCGAAAATAACGACACTAATAATTGCGTGCCTAATACTGTGATTTTAATTTGCCACTTGTCTAATGACATCAATTTTTTTTATTTATTATTTTTAAAGTGTTTGTCCGCGGGGTCCAGCATAATGAACAGGGAAGCTGAAAGCGGTGCTATGAGGCCTCTCGCTCGTGCACTAACCAAATCGTTGGAAAAAGTCCGAGGTCTTTTGCGAGATGCAAGTCTTTGTAGTGACCAAACACCACCGTGTTTGCGCAACCTAATATCGTCGTTGTGCACGTTTGATCATTTGTTGGCTGAATTTGAGCTACGTTATGTGTCTGCCATGGTACCCGTCAAGACTGCTCATGAATACGAACTCCAACAACTTGTGGTCGTCTTGTTTTCAGAAACCCTCCAAAGGTTAGTGTCCCCCAAATCGTCTTTCGTCCATGATTATCTTCAATAACGTGTTGTTTTTCAGGGCACTTGTTAAGGGTCTCTTGACTCAAGATATGGTTGACGATTACGACCCGGCTCTTATGTTCACTATTCCTCGATTGGCAATCGTTTCTGGTTTATTGTTTTACCCCTACATGTCACCATTGTCCCTCGACCAAAACGCTACTAATATGTCTGATATGTTCCGTCCATTTCGAGTGAGCACATGACTAGCCATACTATTTTCTATGGGTTAAAAGAGTAACAAAACTAATAGATTTTATCAATTTTTGTTCAGTCATTGTTAATGAAAATTCGAGAGCTCCTTTTGACACTGTCCGAAAAGGAGTTGTCATCACTAGAAAGAATGTTGTGCTCATCTGATGAGGTGAAGTTTGATGAGAAATTGTCAACTAAAAATAAACAGTTGTAAGTAATATATACAATTTTTCTCGTATAATATGTATTATATGACTAAAAACAACTTCGCTTGTCTATTTGAATTTACTATTATGCATATATTTTGATGTTATATATTTTTCGTTTAAGATGTCAAGAAACGAGTGACGAAGACTCAGAATGTCTTTCATCTAGTACTGCCGAACTAGTAATGGAAAATAATGTCACTTCAACCATAGAACATTGCAGCACAAAAGGATTTCCACCATCATCCCCTCAAGACTTGATGAATAACAATCCGTCGATAAAACATAAATCCTTTGGATCAACAATCATATCAAATACCAACGATCTTCAAAATAACGAATTAAAAAATCCTGTTTCATCAAGTACGGCATCCACTAACGAGTGTTTGGAGTCGAGCTCGGTACCAGATGCTGACCTTACTGAATCTTTGGCTACGGCAACAGAAGCTTTAACTGAAATTCTGGTCAAGTCGAATGTTGATCACGATCATCGAAATGGTACGCAGGATACAAACGGTAATGAAGCACCACTCCTGAAACAATATCCCAACGTGTCCAGTAGTTCTACGCAAACGGAATGCCCTCCATCTAGTTCGTATCACTCGTGTTGTTGCAAAGAGTGGAACTATTGGAAATCAGCCGAGGATAAACAAGAAAGGTGTGGTAGCAACAATTCCGTCTCCGTCACCACCATTCAGTGTCAGTCGTCTACAAGCTGCTGTTGTCATCATAGGAGGAAAAAGGTCACCACTACCACCACTGGAAGTTGTAGCAGTAGCAGTGAAACGGCACAAGACAAGATCAACAGTTGCGAGTGTACTGTCTCAAAATATTCAAAGAACTGGCGAGAGTTGCGTAAAACTACCAGTAACAAAAGAGCCAACATTATATGTCGTTTTCAGAGCTGCAACAGTAATAGACATTCTAAATCTGTGTTAGTAATAATTCAGTTTTATTTCTGGTAGAAAGTTAATTACTTACTCTAAAAACATAACTATAATTAAACTTAATTTCAGGATTAAAAAACATGATATGTGTTCAAGCTGTTCTACTAGTTACACGACGTCCTCTGCTGATGAAAGTGATGAGAGCATGACTGATAGTACATCGACTGACAGTTCCTGTAATTATACCTTACGCCGACAAAAAGCTCGTGCTAAGTTTAGGTGAAAATAACAAGATGTTTTTTTTTCAAATTGAATAACATAACACTGTAATTTATTTTGTTTAGATCTGATGAAGATTTATTGCATCGTCTTTTTGTGTGCATATCTGGAGTGGCCGATCAACTGCAGACAAATTTTGCTGGGGACTTACGAAATATACTTAAAGCAGTATTTCTCATGTCGAATTCAAACTATAGTACAGATAATCAACAGAACACCGGTTTGTTTATGAAAGAACTATTGAAATATGTATATTTTAAGATATGACTATTCAAATCACAGAAGTATTGCCAGTAATAAACAACGCGGCTTCAGTGATAATTGAAAATGGTGAAGAGGCTCTAGTATGGAGAAGTGAACCATTGATAGGTGATGTATTGTCAACAACTATGGAGACTCCTCCTCCTTGGGTACCTGACAATGAAGCACCTACGTGTATGTCTTGTAAAGCTATATTCACCGTTGTCCGAAGACGTCATCATTGTCGAAATTGTGGCAAAGTAATAATAATTCTGAATAGACTTGAGGAAAATTTCTAATCATTGAAACTTTGCATAGGTTTTTTGTTCTCGGTGCAGTTCCAACTCTGTTCCACTACCAAGGTTTGGACATCTAAAGCCAGTACGTGTTTGTAACCGTTGTTTCATTTACCAAGTTACCCCATTCACATTGGAGCCTTCAATTGGACCGGTTCCAATCGTTATGCAATCTTAGTATATTTTATGAAGTTTGTATCTCCTTCCAATTATTTTCTTTCCTATGCATTCCAAAGCTATGAAGAAACATCTTTATTTTTTGTGTTACCATTTTATCCTAATTGACTTTATTAGTTTCTTCCATTTAATCTTTTGCTTTATAAATTTTCCCCATTTATAAATATTCTGTTCCTAAGAGTAATTATAATATTAGTATTCAAAAAGAGAACATTTTCATTCAACCATTCAATGATTTAATTTTAATGAATGCATTTGTTATTGTATTTTCTTATCTAAAAATAATTTTATAAACATTAAGTTAAAAATCATAATGTGTTTGTTATCATTAGCATAATATCCTGTGTTATCAATTAATACATTTTTATTAATATATATATTTTTTTCTAACTAAGCTGCTCAATGATGTTGTTTGACCATTTTATATTGTCACCTTAAAAAAATATTGTCAATTGACAAATTTATTAAATTCTTATCATTATTATTAGTTAATAGTTGATGATTACGCATACATTTTTTTTTTAATTAGTTTCAAAAAAAACTTAATTTTCTTTTGTCAATGTCGTTTTATTATAACTATAGCAATTAACATATGTAATTTTATATTTCAATTGGATTAATGATCAAAAATGGCTGTGGATTTATTTTTAATGATCATTATTCAGTAAATTTATTATATGCATTAAAAAACTATTAGTTTGTTTAAACAATTACATTTATAAGAACCTTTCATTTAGTTATTTGAACTTCAAAATTAATGAGTACGAAGAAATGTATGATTCACGTAGTAATTTATTAAATATCTGTACAAAAATATATTCTACAATTTAGTATTTTATTTCAAACATTTAATTGAACTCAATTGCTGTGATAGTCTGACATATTTACATTGTTGATAAGTTTTTTAAATAAATAGTTTAAATCCACGATTGAAGTATATTACTCTAGTACATTATCAATGGTATCAAAATAATTTATAATTCGTAATCAGTATTAAATAATGTCATTGATCTGCTTACAATTATAAAATTATATTCAATTTTGTAATATTTTGATTAGAACTTTTGTTATAGTCTAATGGTTGTAAGCATTTGTCGGATTTTGTACTGTAAAAAACTAAGTGCATTTATTGAATATTGATATAAAAATGGCCAAAGTATGTTTACGTTTGATTAAAATGGACACCGTCCATTTAATAAATAAGTTATGTATGTTTATTTCAATTTTGTATGTGTGATATGTTTTTATTATTATTTAGGAAATGGTTTTCAATAATTATGCATTTTATGTTTATAAGATCTAATTTTAGTTTTGTTTTGGTTGAAATCACTTTTATTTGTATAGTTTGTACACAAAGTTGTAAAAAAAAAAAACTATCATGTGTGTTGTATGTAAGTATGCCGATTCAAACATTTTTTTTTACTGTAACGATTAAAGTATTATTTCCTTCCTTATGTTTTGTTTTGTTATAATTTATGAACAAGAATTCTGAATCACCTTTATTTATAAAGTATTTTCAACAGTTTTTGTTATTTTTAGTACAAACTGCGGAGTTGATTCTTAAAATAATATCCATCTGAGTAAATATTGCTATTACTGTTTGCTAATTTGGTAATCATTTGTGTAGTGGAGTAATTTAAATAAACTTTGCTTTGCATTTTTTTTTAAAGGAAAGGTAATGGTTATTTTTCCTTTACTATAGTCTGTCCCAGAGAACATGCCGTGTGAAGACGAAAACTAGTTGGCTCTGCTCATCCCCTCCCTTAAAAAAAATCTTAGGCCATGCGCAGAATCGTTTGTTATCGGCGAACTTTTATCGCGTAAAGGAGCCCGATCGTCGACGTACTTTATCTGCATGCGCAGACGCGGCATGTTCTCTCATGAGAATTATAGTTGAGTTTCAGAACTTCCTTTCTGGTTTTTTGATATTTGGATTTGATCAATTTTTGACAAGGACCTATTGAGTAATGCAATTTTTATAATTTTCAAAAAGTTAGAGAGCGAGGACTATTTTGAAAAATACTTAAGTTAAAAAATTTGAACTGAATATTTTTAAAAATAGTATTCTTTTATTTATGAACTATCAAATCAACAACAAGTACATCACAACAATTATGATAAATGAACAGTGACAAGCAGAAAGACCAAATTACGTAGGTAATAATTTATTTTCCTCTAAGAATTTCAAAAATTCATTCTTGTGTAATTTTATTAGGATAATACATTTTTTTTTTACTAATCTTTAGATAGACACCGAGACTAAATTGCTATATTAAAAAATATAACGGAATTCGCTGTAATCTGCAGTGTTACAATGATGAGATAATGTTGAACGAAGAAAGACTCGTCCGAATTTAAAAATGTTTTCAATCAATCTTTTTCATTCAACACCCACCTAATCCCCGCCGACCCAACCAATTATTTCTAATACAACTTAACAGTCAGTTTTCAGAAGTATGTATATTTTTAATCTTTTTCCTATTTCTAAGGGACACCTTATTGATAACGTCTTATACATCTGGCAGTCAGCCTTGTTCTTGAGTTATTATCACTCCCTTTTTTGTTTGTGTTCCCGATTAGCACGGGCGAACGGTTTGCTTGGGCGTCACACTACTTACCCCGGCTGACCATAATTTATTGCAAAACAACATTAAAACGGTTATGTTGCGTACAACAACGCATATACATCTGCTGGACACCTTACTCTCCCAAATTTTGTCTTCGGCTACATTCAACAAATCTTAATTAAATAATTATGTTTTAAAAACAGCCTGGTAATCTCTTTTGTCGTTAACTTTTTATTTTTTATAGACAAAAAAAATGAATAGTTATTAATTAATAATTAGTGTTAACATATTTAAAATATTTTATATTATCTTTTAAGTATATTTCTGTTTCTTATTCAGAAAAATGAATTCCCTCACTTTTTCTGGGTTAAATGAATTCCTTTTTGATGAGCAAACTAACTCTGTTGTACTAAATACCCTTTCTGAATCTACATAATTAGGTGAACAAGAATGATGCTTTTCTGCTAAAACCTTGAGACCTTTATACTTTGAAAATCCCCAATATTGAAAGATATCTCCATTAGTATTTAATAGTTCTTCTTTTAAATACTTGTTAAGTTCTATATCTGGTGTATTTTCTATGTTTGATGTTCTGTGTGAGGAACAAGTCAGATCAGTATTTTGGCACATCTTTGGATAGACAAATTTTAATTTGTTTAGTAAAGAATTTCTTGCTCGCTGTGCTATCTGTACAAGAAAATACCTACCTTATATTTAAATCTTGGATCAAGTAAAGTGCTGATTGAGATAAGTTTCTTTGTTTCAAAGTCAATAAACCGGTTTTTAATTTGAGCTATAAGTGCCAGACCATACTACGCGTTTTATCGGTTGCCGAGTTAAAAAGCACAGAAATTATTTTAGTTCAAAATAATGTTCTTGGAAATTTTAGACTATTGATATATTATATTTGATTTCAACGAAATTTAGCTGGTTTATTATTATATTATTTCTTTATAATGCTAATGATAGCCCTAAATCTGATCGAGTTATAAGAACTAATATCCCATAAACAGGGATAGTTCTGAACTTCTGATATTAATCCCTCCGTTGAGTACATATTTATAGGTGGGTATGTTAATACAATTAAGAAAACCGATATAATATAGTTAAAATTATATAAAAAAAAAAAAAATTATGTTAAAAGCATAATAAACCGCAACCGATAATCCGCAAGTGTGGTCGGCACAATACGAAATAAAGTATTTTGAAGTACTTCCCGAAAAGCATCGGCAATGTAACATGTAATGGTTTGTCCCGATGAGTTTGAAATTGGCTCGCCGAATCAACCAGTGTGGCCCCGATAGGGTCTAAATAAATTGAGTCCGCGATATTTTGTGTACATTTTGAAAGCGGTAAATTGAGTCCCGGGAAAAAAAAAGATATTAGGTAAGTTTGGTCCCAAGGAAAAAATGGTAGTAGGTATATTGAGTCCCAACTACTAACTACTCGTAACTACCTCGCCGTAGTGGTTTTACGAATGACCATTCACACTGTTTCTATTGGTTATCGATTCCATTGTGATCAAATAACTTCGTAACGTAGTAAATTTGATTATGTCTAATTAAGATACGTATATAGGCATATACAAACATTAGTTTGTCGTATATCATGTGTCAGTTATCAATTAACATCAATATTGATGATAGTTCTTATGATTATACACAGTCACGAGTGTACGAAATCTGAGCATTTTCACTATATTTTTCGTAGCGTGCATTGCGTACTGTATGTCGATTTGAGTTTGTTAAATTCATATATTTTAAGTTTTTACCGAAAATGTAATAAAAAACACAATAATATTAAAATTGACTTCTAATAAAAATGATTAGATATTAAAAAAAAAAATTGTTTATCATGAACTTGATCTACTACCATTTTTCCCGGGACCCAACTTACCTACTGCCTTTATTTTCCCGGGACCCAATTTACCGATAAAAGGTTATTTAGGATCCAATTTATCAATTCCCCTGATAATGCGGTTTATATGTTATTTATTGGTTGTGGTCGTTTACCGATCGGTTTCGGATTATCAGTAACCGATAAAACGCATAGTGTGACCCGGCACTAAATGCATTTGTTGTTTCACTGCATGTAGTCAGGGATGTATTTAGGAGGGGGAAGTGAGTACCACCTATCGGTATCAGCCCAGCTCTAATAGGTACTTCAGACAATTTCCATTGATTTGAGACCGAATCATAACCAACCATACCAATCTATAACCAATCCATGCTCTGTGTGTACAATTCAAATAGTCTTGGGTCCATCTGGCATCTGGTTCCACAAATAGCGCGTAAAGCTAAACGAAAGTAAATCATAATAGACAACCTTTATACTGAAATTCACTCAAAAACTTGAATCTTTTTCAATAATATTTTTATTACACAAATTATGAAAACTTAGATTTAATTCCGGATAAGCGATTGAAATCCATTTAAAAAAAACTAGCTGATAACCAACGTTTCAGAATGCTAAATACCCAAATTAACACACACGCCAATACTATAAGTTTACAAATCAATGTGGATATATGGAATGGAACTCTGAGGTGTCGCTAAAATTTCAAATATAAACAAAATCCAAACTATTCAATTGATCATCCTTTGCAGTTTACTTCGCTTATTTAGTTCTGTACAATGAAACTATTCATAAAGACCTTAATATATCTACAACAAAACAAAC